TAAAAGTCCCTAAAAGAACGGGAAGTGATGCCGATAGAACCTTCAATCATTCTGGGCTAACGCTTATGACTTGGAAAAAGTCCGAAAACCTGTCGGCTCTTGTTCAGCAGGAGGTGTATGAAGGGCCACCCGCCATAAGCACTGCTCAACCGCAGGCACAGGTTTAGACGGTGTTGGTCCGTATCAAAGCCAGTGTGGTGGAGAATCCATTGGCTGAAATGCTCCAGAACATTCATCACTGTGTTTTTATGAAAGGTGGCTACAAGCTCAGTTAAAAGAAAAAGTACCAGATTGTTTTGCTTTTTAATTATGCAGCGGGAAGAAAGGTGTCCGGATAATTTCGTTACACCCCCTGTAATGTTCAAATGGTTGCTAAATTCGAAATCAGCTCCAAAAACTAGCCTAGTAACATGTAAAACTCGAAAAAGGAATCGAGGTCATCAAAGGTCATTGAGCTGACCTGACCTTCAGGTGACCTTGACACACACCCTAATGCATGGGACCAGCATCATATCACATGTTTCAACGCTTGAAACCACGTGAAAACTGCAACCGCGCGGCTACTGCGAGCCGACATACGCCGAATCGCGATTCGGGCCAAACATGGTCTCGAAAAATAGGTCACATGTCAAAGGTCAATTGGGTCAGGGTCATGAAATTTTCAGGGTAGGTGTAAAATTGATAAAATCGGGGGCATTGAAAGTTTCGTCGCGATCGGACGGTTTTTACGCGAGTTACTCACGAAAAACCGATGAAGCGCACCCAAAAGGCAGAAATATGCACATGCGATATCCTATACTGCGAAAAAAAGGTGCATCATTTTTTAACGTCGCCGACAAATTGTAATTACCCTAAGCTCAGGCAGATGTATGGTAGAAAATCCCCCAAGTGAAATACACTACGGCGGAAATAAAATACCCTACGGCGGAGCTCGGTTGCAATTTGTAAATACGCAAACGGTGGCGCCAATCTCAAACGAGGCTGGCGACTTGCTAATGTTCCTGCTCAACTTTGATGACCTCTCCTCGCCCCAAGAGGAAGATGACGATGACAAGGAGTTCTCTCAGCTGCTGACCAAATGTGAGTAGTAAGATCGTTTATGTAAGGGGTTAGATAAGAACTGATGGGTTTTGTTAACGGTATTTGTGTAACAGAAATCTGGTATAGAGGATGCAAGCAATTCCTTACAGGTGATTCGTTCCAAACAAAGTTTCCTGGAAAGCTGGGCCATGAGTGGGGACGGGGTAATCAAACCTATAATTGCGGAACTCGAGGTTAACCCTAGAACGCCTAGGGGGGGGGTTGTATCAACCCCCCCCCTAAGGTTTTTTCGAAGTGCACGCTAAACGGCTTGTCGTAGCGGGCTGAAATTTTCAATACCCTCTGGGGCAACCTTTGCGCATCTTTTGCCGAAAAAAAATTGATCGGGTCATGTCAGGTCACGGAGTTATGACGTCATAAGAGGTACAGCCTCCGGCCGACAGTTACCAAACGTGTGCGCCGAATCCCTAGGTTTTCTGCCGGTGATACCCACATTGTTTGATGGATCATGATGAAACTTCCCATGCATGTTGGGGCAAGCATTGGCTATCGTGTGGTGCAAGAAAATTGACCGGGTCAGGTCAGGTCACGGAGTTATGACGTCATAAGAGGAACAGCGTCCGGTACTATTTTTGAAAAGCGCCCGAACCACTATTTTGCTAATTCTTGTCACCTCAATGGGAATATGCAGCAATATTAGCTTCTATAAGGAGCAAATGGACCTTCCAAATCCAAAAATACAATCAGATTTCAAAAATTTAAATTTTGATTTTTCGAATTTCTGCCGCCGACTGTGACCTTGCCGACTTCCGGCGCTCCCAACGCGCCATTTTTAGAGCTAGGGAAACGAAATACATACCAAACGATAGAGAATTGATCAAGGAACACGATAGTGAAGATTTCAAGTCGATATCTCCCACCGTTTTGCCGCAATCGCCGCGGAAAGTTGAAAAAAGTCTATTTTTCCGAAAATTTGACCTTTGACCGGTCAAAAGTAGGTCAAATGTTGACCTAGGACCAAAAAATATACCACCAATCGCGAGATCTCGTTGAGAGCAATCCGTTGGTTTTTTCCGCTAAGCTCTACGACCTTCCGTTTCGAAACGCCAGGGGGGGGGTCGTAACAACCCCCCCCCTGGTCGTTCGTGTTATGAGAAATGGCCTGGTCGTGCGAGGGTTAAATTTAGATGTTATCAGGCAAGTCATTCAAGACATTCCACGGAACATTGCAATGTGCGCTGCGTCCAGAAGTCAGAGGTTAGAGTGATGGAGGCCAATTCCAAGCGCCCTGTCGACTTCAAGAGACGGTAGCAAGTGAGCGATTGGTGCTTATAACATCCTCACTCTTTAAGCCGAATCCGGGTCAATTTAAAAAATATGGGTTACGTAAATGCGTATTGCAATATATGATTGGAGCACCAGAAATCCCGAGATGGCATAACGCATAAATTGAATAGAAACTAATATTTTGAAGGTATTTTAAATGAAATATATTTTAATTCCTACATACGTAATGCGCATTTCTGCCAAATCATCAGAGGATTGAAAGTAACAAATCTAGAGTTTTTATGCTGTCCTCTGCTGTAGATAAGTAATTTTGAATAAATAAATGGAAACTAAAAACCAGTTTCATTTGCCTCTTTACTACCAATTCGACGTAGGGAACAGTTAATATCCTTTAATATGTTAGTTGCATACATGCGGACATATATGGGCCATGCTTCATCATCAACGCAAATCACCCAGATCGTATTGTATTAATGTAATTATCAACAGTACACCAGATAGTACTCCTTGTGGTATCTCGGGTTATAGGGCCCATTTATTAAATGTGACCTTTTGGCCAGCTCTGGAGAGCCTATACGAGCGTGGCTCTTATCTTCGTCGGGCGTCACATAAATCAGATCATGTTCCGCGAGTCCGGTAGCTGGGTCGGCCGCGTACGGGCCCCTGGTGGTTATCCCCTCTCGCAGTGCGGGGTCATATGTAGTGGGGGTCATCATACACGTCCCAGGCGGCACGTGCCAGTCACACCTCGACAGACGCGCCATTGCCGTATACAGTCGGGCAAGCGGCGGTGGTGAGCGATAACCTCTCCCCGTCAGTCTCCCCTGTACGGATACTCAGGGCCGAAAATAGCGTGCATTCCATCGCGCAGGACCGACACGCGATGGCACGCACCTTCACGCAGCAGAGCTGTAAAGGCTAGTGGAGTAATGCAAACGGTCTCTAATGAATTAGCCGGGCAGTGCTTCCGTGTTTCAAAAACAAACGTGAGGAACTGTGGACTGAGGAGATTTGGAGTCAACAGGATATAGCTGGATTGTTTTTTACGGAATGGATTATATATTCCCGACCGGGGCTGGGAAAAATGCGTTTTATTCACCGAGGTTTTTGTGCGGAGGACCGAGTGCCGGTAGGCACGAGGTCCGTAGCCAAAAACCGAGGTGAATAAAACTGCATTTTCACAGCCCAAGGTTGGGAAGAGATTTACCACATGTCGTACCGGCGTAACAGTTTTTATTATATTTGTATTTTTTTATAGTGGGGCTGCGTTAAGAATGAGAGATGAAATTCCATACTTTTCCCTTATTTTGGGTTAAAAAAGCTGAGGATGAAGATGGTGATGCGCCAGAAGTAAGAACAAAGAAGTATATGAAGTCCAGCAGGAGTGAGGAAACCGTGAGGAAAACTGAAAATTCAGAGTGAAACGCTGAATCAAACGCGTCTTGAATAATGCTAGCTGGATCAATAAGTTAGAACAAAGAAGTATATGGAGTCCGGTGCAGGAGTGAGGAAACCGTGAGGAAAACTGAATATTGGGTGAAACGCTGAAACAAACGCGTCTTGGATCCCAGCTGGAACAATATCAAATGTTTCATTTTGGCACGTTAAGGTGCCTCTCGCATTTGAATTGTTCGTTTTTTTTTCGTGCATTATGTATGTGGTAATGATTATTCTGACCATGTTCTGCAGCAATAAATACATTGGCATTGGAACGATACCCTTGTTTATAGTTGAAGTACGTTGACAGCAAAAGTAAGTAAACACGCAGTCACTTACTTTTGCTGATGCTGTTAGTGAACAGACAATCCGTAAATATCTTCTTTGGAATTGGTTCTTCCGCTCAGAATATTCAGTAAAACTTTGTCTGGGAAAATCAAAAAGCCCTAGGGCCGAATCGTTTCCCAAATACCTTCAACATTAGCCGAGGCGGGCCGAAGCCATTTCCCAAATGCACGTGCTAATGTTAAAGGGATATCTCGGCATGTGGTAAAGGATGATTTCGATATACATGTCACAAAAGTATCAGCTATAGCTGATACTTTTTAAGAGTATACGAGTAAGTACTAAGTAGCTCTGCAAACGCTTTAGCATTTCAAATACGAGTTTGTGTTTGAACAGGTGTTTTGTGCTCAATAATTTTCATCAATGACAGGAGAGCGTTAGATAACAAGTCTGATCTGCCGAAGCGCACTTGCATCGATAACATAGCTAACTTTGGAGCTCTACAAACTCGCAAACCAGCCCAACAAACTTTCCTAACTCATTGTCGGTGACACACATGGCATGTACCTAGTAGATCCAATGAGGCGCTAGTAAAAGTTTCATAGCCGATTACAGCTCATCAAAGTATCCTTTGAACCAGAATAACATGTTTTGCAAGTTGAAAATGAGATCCCTAAAATGATGCGAATAAAGTATATTACTAGAGGGACACAAATGACTCCGGATTGTCGACCAAAGGCCGAAGATGAAGCCCTCTTATTTCGAGCGTAACCAAAGCGTCCGATTCAAGCTGAGCGGCAAACATGTTCTTTGTGGGGGAGATGCTGGTCTCCTGCTTGAGGAGATGCTAGTCTCCTGCTGTAGGAGATGCTGGTGCCCGGTTGAGTTAGATTTGGTGACAGGCAGGCCAACATTAACTCCCACTAACCCCCTTCTCTCTTCTTCCCCAGTCGGCAAGGCGCGACAGTCGTTCCGCCAGAGCATCCGTTCGTTTCGGAAGGGCCGCGGCAGGGCGGTGGGCGTGCTGCGCGGTCGTCAGGGCAGCGCCTCGACCTTGACCCCGACCCCGGAGGCCACTGAGGCCGCGGAGGAGGAAGCCGAGGCTCTCGGGAGAGCCGAGACGTCCGTAGATGACTCGCCGAACGCTCAGTGAGTGAGGTCTCTCGGTGGGGTCCGAGGTCAGTCTTGAAAGGGCGGGAGGGGGTGGGGGTGATTGTGGCGAGGAATGTGACAATATAAGTGAGTCCGAGGTGCACATAGATTGTCTGGGAGTTATCGGAAGATGTCATGGTATAGTTCTAGAATATGTCGCGCTTATGTGTTGTGTGATATGTACTCTATTGTGCAATGCAACCGTTCAACTAGAATATAAATGTGATTGTCTTTTGAACATATCGACACCTTTTTTTTAAAACCCCACATCTGCTCTCCCGTGAATTTCCGGGAGGCACGAAAGATCTCCTTTAAAAAGTGTCCAATCGTCCGATCCTGATCAAATATGTGTGTTCGTAGGCCTGTTCTGGTATTGCTTTATCTGCCAAGACAGACAAACTTGAGAAAAATCGAGTGATTGTACCTTTTTTGAAGGTCTCTAACCAACTTGTCTGAAATTCACCGGAGAACAAATGTGGGGTTTAAAAAAAGGTGTCGATATTTGGTGGAGTGCTGTGCTGAGCATTGTTAGAAGGAAAATAGTTATCATTGAGATATAAAAGCCTTTGCTCATATTAAGTTCCGAATGGTAAATGAAATGCAGAATTCAATTTTTCAAAGATTTTTGCAGTGATTGTCTTTTATCTCAACATTTAAAGCTCTTTCTGACCCCTTCCCTCTGCCGTCAGGGAGCCGACACAGGCTCCGCAGTCGGAGCCGCCGGAGCCGCCGGAGCCGCCGGATGGACTGGCCGCCCCGACCTCTGACCTGACCCGACTGAGGCCACTGACCCCTGCCTCGGACAGCGCGCCCGACCTGCGGGCCAAGCTGGACGAGCCGTCAGACGTGTCGACCGCCCGCCTCAGCAGCCAGCGGCTCTCCGAGGCGGTTAGTACTAAACTGGGCGAACAAAGGCGGTGCGAGGACGCCGCTAAACCCACCGTTGTGCGTGTGGGCTAAGTTGAATTCATTAAAGGTCTAATACAGGAATAAATTAAACCATGTGGATCAAATTTGAATTACCGCACATTTCTGCTTAATGATTAACAGCTGCTTGCAATTGATTATTTTAATAAAACCTCTGTTGGATCGTTATTTAATGTCTGGAACTTGCCATGTGATATGCTATAGGTTCCATAATGTATTGGGCATTATCGGTAGATGAAACATGCCTGTATATAACTATGCGCATCCCCCCCCCCACCCCACCCTTTTGAACGCGTTATAGTGGCTTGTATGTTCAGAGTGATACGAACAATTTTAAACATTTACCGTAAAATCACCTGACAACAATGCCAGCATAACCAGCCCTCCACCTGTATTCGTCAGGGTGTTCCGGGCCAGCCTCTGAACAGCGGCTCTGCAGCGGGCCCCCTGACGCCCCTGCGGCCCGCCTCCTCCCTGGACCCCATCTCGCTGCGCCGGGTGGGACAGCGCCAGCCGCCGAGCAGAAGTGCCACCATTGGCACCGGTAAGACACGCAACGCGGGTATTGACAATGTGGGGGATCCAAACAATTGCTACAATGCGAAACGGCTTGTTCCACCCAGAGAGATAAGATTTATATTGAAATTTATCTGATGTTTCAACTTGATGAGTGCAACTGGGATACAAATGTCCAAACAGGCAACAGCACCCTTCAGAGCTTCTTTTCCTCGTTAATTTTTTGTTTCTTATGAATAACTTCACTTTAAAGCTCAACCAAGCGATTTCACCGTCAATGCTAAACTTCGCGGATGTGGTAATGGTTATTCCTTCTCGAATGCTATGCATGCAAATTGTTCCAATACGTGTCCAGGGTGATGAGATTACTTCTTAGTCATCACTAACCCGGGTCTTGTTGTCCTGCTGTCTGTGTCTGTTTCGCCCTGTTTAGAAACAGGTGAGGGTGTTTGTAAGACGAGCAGGCATAGACGCTTCTATGAAGTTACCATAAACATCGTTCCTCGTTTTGATAGTCAAGCCTAGTTATTCATTGTTATACAATGCATACGCTTAAAATAAAATGCGAACCTCTATACATTTATTTTGCATTGCTGCAAGTCCTCCCTTTTCGTGTATAGGTGCAACAGAAACTGCGTATTTTTAGTTTTTTTGTTTTGTTATTTAGCAATTGAAGATCTTCTGTTGAAATTTGTTTTTACGCCGCTGCCAAGCATTTTCTTTTTATCCTTTTCTTATTACGTAAATACTCTTATATCGCTTCACTCCGCCTATGCAATTAATGTATAGGTATTATGTGTCATCTGTTGAGCCATTTATGTAGTACGGAATTGTAGCGAGTTGCCCTCCACCGCCACCCTCGGGTCGCTGCTGGCTACTGTTGATGTTGTTGGCTGACTAACTGTTGTACCCTGACGCTGTAAATGTTCCCATTGACCCCGCATTATCACCGAGTGTTTCGCTGCAGTCGAACTCAGAGACTGGCCTGCTCAGTGTGTTTGATCTAACGTAAGCTGTTTACCTCTGTTCTCTGAGCCGGATTGATGAGGGTGCAGCGTTGGCCGCGGTTGTGCTGTACCCTTCTGACAGAGAGCTGGCTGGAGTGTGTGTGTGCTGAGATCCTGCACCCCGTTCCGGTCGCTGTTTCAGTGTACCCTTCTGAGTTAGAGTCCGAGGAGCAGCGGCCTCGCTCGCATACGGTTGATAATTTCTGCCAAGGTAACTGTGACACGCATGCTACTGACGTAGCCGTAGAGAGCAGCTGCTTCGTGGCCTGCCCGAAAGGGACGCGGACGTTCTACACAGGCACGCTTCTTAGCACTTTGGTGGCCAGCAGCGCGCGGATTTTGGCCGCCACTGACTATTAGCAGCAGTTGTCGCCGCAGCTGGCCCGTGATTTATGGCCGAATGGGACAGTAATAACATCGATAATCGCTGTGTTTCACCAATACCCTCCTGGACAGTGTCTGTGTCTAACTTGACATCAGATCAAAATTGTGTAAATGTCGAATAGTCCACAAATGGTCAATGTATCACTTTTAGCGAAGGTCTAAATTAGGTACTAGCCTTTCATGGCAACGATATGATACCAATATTTTGTTTCTGTCATTTATAGCCATTGGAAAGTTTAAAATCTCAGCCACATCCTATGGTCGTTAATTGTCTGTGTGCCATACCCAGCCAGTTCACCCACGTTTTTTTCACGGTGCCGGGCCGGCCCGGCAGTGCTGGCGGCCGCGCGGCCGGTGACACCGGCTGACCCGCCGGCCGCCCGGCACGCTGACTGTTTGTGTTGGACACGCGTCAGCACCGAGACAGAGCCGTTATCACCTGCACTGGGTCACCGCCACGGGCCCAGTTGGCCGCACAATGCACTGGCGATCACCCCTGGCACCCGGAGCGGCCGGGGGCGGCCGTCCGAGCCGGTATAGAGGACGCTGGCTGCCCACCGCGCACCTCGGCACGGCACCGCCGCCAGTCCGCATCCTGCACCCGGGCCGCACCAGAGTGCTCCCTTTGGTGATTTCTAGAGATGATCTCTAAGCATTTGGGCTCTATAGCGACAGAAAGCGTTAGGGAAGCTAGGAAAGTTAACCAATTGATCTTTAATGAACCATTGCTTTTGTGTCTTTATCACGTAATTTAGCCGCGGTATAACAGTTTAAATCTCAAACCAGCCTATGCTTCTTCATTTTGCAGCGTTTTTCCCTTGATCCCTTTTCTGACCTTGAGTATTTGTCAAATACCCTATGGGTGGCACTAACCTCTAAGCGTGTACCTGTAGCATACTACACACGCATCAAGCTGAACTATATCAACTGTTAAACAGCTTACAACGTTAGACGGCAGAACGACTCTCGCCGTTGCTGTAACATAGCCAACTGCCAAGATGTATTTCGTATGTGCTTGAATAGGCAGCTTAGAAGTGTACAGTGCTTTGAGACTTTCATTCTTTCGGGTTTAGCCTCTCAGACAGGAATGATGCTATTGGTTGGATAATCGGTACATGCGTGGCGAATACACACTCAAAAACCACAATTTAGCCACACGGCATGCTCAAGATACATTAGAGATAGAGGAAAGGGTGCATAAGATACCTAGGTAGTGAGTAAAAAAGAACCTATTTGTAGTAAGTAGTACACAATTCTAGTGTTGGATATTTTGACAAAGACGTGTCTTCTGAAATCGTGCTACTATTTCTATTATCTATGCTTCGCTCTTACTCCCAAGCTATCTTGTGTCGTAAGGGAAGAAGTCCATTTAAGCACTTTGTGTTTTCAGCTCCATTTCTTCAACTGGAGCCGTTTCATTTTCATACGACCTCGTTTAACATCAAACTTGAGGCTAACTATTTGTCTCGTTGTCCAACGATGCTTCCAATACATCTAGTTAGTTTGGATGTGGGCCACATATTGGTTAACTCCCGTCACCAATCAACTTCTGGTCCTTGTTCTCCGATCCTGCCACTGAACATTGACTGTTTCCTACCAAACGCCCGAATGTCGGATCCAGTGTCTTTGTCGCCCATCGATGTGAGTCGCTTCTGACCGACCTTTTGTGTCCCTTGACCCTGCGCAGAGACATTCTGATGGCGTGCACGTCTGTTTCGCAGCCACCCGGAACCACGTACAGGGTCAGCACGCGTCTGCGTCGTCCGAGTCGGATCTCAGTCGCTACCGCACCCTCTTCCAGCACAAGAAGTCGTCTTCTTTCAGCAACATGACAGAGTCGAAGCTCAAGGTGAGCGGAGGCTTCCTGTGTCGGAACACACCTGAGAAGCACCTGCTGACTTGCGGTTGGGTTGATGATCTTAACACTAACGTATAATCTAGGATCCCTGTGATGATTTTGAAACCGTTAGCTCTACCGTAAGTGCAATATGGTAGTCTTTAACAGTCTTCCATGTGGCAAACAGCTGGTTTTCAGCTAAGTCGGAGCTGTGAGCGAGGTATGAAACTGCAGTTCAGTTTTTCAGAGTACCCAAAGATGGCAGCAGTGTCACCTCAAAGGTGGGTCAAAGACTGAGGCTCATGCTGGCAATTTTGCACTTAGCAGCCACAGTAAAATGTGCTTGGAAAGGAAAAGAGGCCAGCCAGCTGCCAGCTTCTAGTTTGCTTCTGACATTAGTATTAGTCCACCGTCACTCTGAGGTATGCGGCCGCCGCCGACCGCGCCCGGTATAACCTGATGACTGAGTGCCTGAGTGCGATGCGTTCCGTTTGCTGGGGCGGGTCGCCATGCCATGACTGCCGGACTGTCCGGGTGCTCTCTCTCTCTTTTTCTTTCTCCGATGTCCCGGCCGCCGCATCACCCGATCACCTGCCAATCTGCGCTCTGGCCCTCTCACGAATGGCATGCGCGCCGGGCGGCCGCCGCGCGCGCCGCCCCTCACCAGGCAGTGCCCTCCCCACCCCGCCCGCTGGTCCCGGACCGGCCGCACCGATTGCGCTCTGACCCCTCACCTGAATGAGCGGCCCGTTGGCGGGCGGGCGGGCCGGCCGCCACCGGCACCAGCCTGCAGCCGCTGAGACACCTTCTCTGATTCAGGACCCAGAAGGCTCCGGCAAGCACAAGTTTGAGCATCTGAACGCTAAGAACAAGGTGGCCCAGGTCGGCAAGGTGGTGAGTACCGACGGCTGCAGACGCCGACCGGTGTGTGTTGTGCGGTGCTGTGCAGTGTGCACTCGTGTCGCCTCAGTTGGTGTTAATGTGCAACATACAGCGGCCGTACTTACACACGGCAGTGGATGTCCGGTGGCCTGACAGCGCCATCCAGCTGGAGCGGCCTCTGCCGCTGGCTGTAGTTTCTCGAAGCTCACTAGATGGGGCTGAGTGACCTCGTTGGAGCCATGTTTCTTGAGCTGGCGTGAGCTGCAAGACGACAGTGCCAGAAGATTCTATTATTAGTTTAATTAGTGTCTTGGTTATGGGAAGTAGTTTGAGGAAGGTCTGCTCCGCGGAAGTTATTGTCACCCGCTCCATACTGCCCTATTTATTATTCACTCGATGAGGCACCTGGCAAATTATCACATACCAGGTGATGCTACAGTGTATTTGTTATCCGTGCGTATTTCTGAACTTTTCTCCATGATAACGACGTTCCATATCACAGCGACCACAAGCTATTATACACGTAAAAAATGACCGAGAATACGCCCAGCAAACAAGCGTAGAGTCAGAGCCACTGGCCAGCTGTGAAAATGTTTCGCCCGAGCCCCCTGCCAGGCAGCAGCGGAGCCATTTCCGGTCGGGCTGGCTCGGGCTGAGTTAGGGCCGGGTCGGGTCGGGGGAGGGGACGGGTGACCACATCTGGCTGGGGCCGCCGCCGGCTCGCGTTGGGCCGCCACGTGCCGGTCGGCGGACGAGGGAGCACCTGGAGTCTCCGCGGCACCGTTGGCGGCGCGCCCGACACCTCCAGTGGGCTCCGGGTCAGGGTCAGCCCGGCGCAGTCGCCGGTGTCGCCGGGCAGGAGTTCAAATGTGCTTCCAGGCTACGGTCGTTCGTTAGAACTATGTTTTTAGGTAGATTTCCTAAATATACAAATTGCCTATGTAAATTGTTATGACTGCAGCAAAGGGAAGGAATCCATGGCAAACGTTACTAGACATTGTTTTACTTGAAATGCGTTGAGAATCGATGAGGATGGTGTTGAAGCCTTGCCATCGTTCTTTTCTTCTGACTCCATTTTTGTCTCAGTGTCGCTGTAGTTACGTCTGGCGTCAGATGAGTCTATTGACGCCGTTGGACGACTGAATGAGTCTCGGGCAGTTTTCAATCAATGCCTAATCAATCGGTGTCGTGTCACCGGGCTGGGTCTGATTGAGTGGATCGTCTGGAATCACTGAGCAGCCGATGGCGGTGCGGTCGGTGCCAGCTGCCAAACCGGGTTAGCAGTCGGCACCAGGCGGCCGGTGATAACCGAGTGCGCAGCTGATTACGCCGACTTGATCCACTCGTTTGATGGGATGTTCAATGTCTTATTCAACCATTGTCTTGGTTTAGATGTGCATTAGGGTGTCAAAAAATGTATAAATCTGAAGGCAATTGAGTATCTACATATAGTAAATGATTTGTTCAATCCATTTTTCCTCAATTAGACATTCCTACTATAGCTGTTCCATTATTTGCATGTGTATTTTGATATGTGCATTGTGCTTATCACCTATAATGAACTCGATTTGTTTGCTGACGTGAGCCAACGTGACATTAGAAACATTTTCTTTATGGGAGCAAATGATTGCTACAAAGTATTTCCTGGTGATCAGGATGAGTTCTCCTCTGGCGAATGCCCAAAGCATACTAGAAATTAATTTCTCTCTCAAAACGGGAGCGTTTCTTTGAAGTGAGCCGGCTGCGGCTGGCGGCAGCGGTCGGCGGGGCGGCCTCGCTGCCTCCTGGGAGCGCACGAGGTAATCTGATTCAGAGCCACGGCTAATGGCCGCTCGCCTGATGATAATATCCGAGTTACGGTCGGTCCGAGCGGCGGCCGCGGCCCACATAACCATAGATCTGCAGCGACGAACCCAGTGCGTGACGGACGCGAACAGCGGATTTATGGGACGGCACGCCGGACGGACGGCGGCGGGCGCATGCACCGCTCTGTCCCCCGGGGACGGGGGTCAGGGTTACACCCCTCTCTGATCTGCCTCGGGGTGGACACTGACAGGGTTACACGGCTCTTGGGGGTATCGGTCAGGGTCCTGATCTGTCCTCCAGTGATGATTATGGCGACACTCTTCACTGTCCCGCCCAGGGGCAGCGGTCAGGGTCACACAGTCTCCCGCTGCTCTGTCCCAGGGCGGGGTGGGTCAGGGTCCCCCACTGCTCTGTCCTGGGGTAGTCAATGTCCAGACCACACCCCTCACCACCCCACCCCGGTCCTGGGTCCCCGACCCTGTGACATTTTCACCGCTCACTCCATCCTGACTGACGTCGCTCGTTCAGGCCACGGAGCCTGTGCGTCACTCGGCTGCCTCTGACCTCCCAGCGCCGACCTTCCGCCGTCCACCGGCTACCAGTCACCGCCCGCCGCCCCCAGCCAAACATGGAACACCAATCGCCTCCCGAATCGACCCCTGAGCGACCGCCAACCCATCGCGTACTTCGTGATTGGCCAACTTTGGCTGGCCGCAGCGTCTCTGGGCTGTCGACGGCGAGTGAGGCCAGCTCCTGATCCGCTATATTGCCGAGCTGATCACTGGGAGGGCCGCCTGACCTCATATTTGGCCTGGAGAAGGTTATGATGGGAAGCCGCCGAGGGAAGCTACGCTAGTGTAACGCTACTTCGATCGACGGTCCTCCGGGTCATTGCCGGTCGTCTCCAACCGGTTTGACCACAGTTGAGCCACACATGGTCCTCAGCTGGGCTATAGCTTGACCACAGTTGGGCAACTTATTGATCCGAGCTGGTCCAAAGCTGAACCAACTGAACTAGATTCTTCGATGTCTGAAAGCCTTTGTGTCAACGGCCTTTTTCTGGTGGTAATTAAACCTTATTCAAATAGCTCATCTATTCATACACAATTCGACAAACGTTTAACCGGTTTAATCATCAGATTTCAATGGCACCATTATCTGGCCGTTATCTGACCAGTTAGACCGCTGTCTGACCAGCCGCCGCGGCCGGCTCGCTCTCCAGCACACACCGGACCGCGGCGAGCGCGGAGCGTCGGCCCGATCGTCGTGCGCGTCTTTCAGCGGGAGGCAGCGCTCTTCTCGAGCAGTGTTTGTGTGTAGAGCGAGGACGACGGCGGCAGTGTTTTGGTTATGCGGTGGGGCCGCGGATGGCAGAGGACCGACACTGTAGGATCGGGCGGAGGATGTCCACCGAGGGTCCTCGGCTGTACGTTCTGTACAAAGGATGATCAGAGTGACAAATTATAATGGGATTGGAATGAGCATTTATACGGCTTTTGATATGATTGCTGGTGGGTATGTTTGTCGGTATTGACGGATGTTTGACTGTCAGCGTAATAGCTGCTTTCCATGTCATTATGCCGTTTGGAAGAATTGGTGTCCGTATACTAACTGTTATAACTCATGTTACGACCTACATGCCGGGCTTGCAAACCGACGCAAGTACGACAGTGGTCATTATACCGGCATGCCGCGCTGTTAAGATGTCGATGCGGCATTAGGGCAGTGTCCACTGTCCATCCACTCTACCGAGGTCGGTCGGCAGTGCTGGGTGCGGCTGGTGTCTACGTTCGCGACGTCTGATTCCGGGGAGCAGCCACGCTGCGCCGATCGGCTGCACGTCTGCTGATGCGGCGGACGGGTCTGATGAGGCAGACGCGGCCGGTCTTCATTGGATGCAGACCGGGAGCCGAACAGAGCTCCCCGGCGGTATTAGCCGCCATTGAGCCGGCCCGCCGTATGCAAGGTGTCCGCGCCGCGCCGACCATTCATAGGTCGGCTTCGGCGCGTCATAGAGAAGTTCGCCGTGTTCTGAAGTTATCAGAACACGCGAGAAGATATCAGATGTCAGATCGAAGGTAGATCGAATTGAGTCAGATCGATCACAGGAGGATGAGCGAGCTTTGGCTAGTTTTCCTGAGTAGCCATCAATCCGGCTTATTCACTCCAATGGTAAAAGGCATGTCTGGTTGGGGACCACTTCGAATCCATTCGTGGTGAAGTGACTCACTCTTAGTGAAGTGATTCGTTTCAGATGGGGTGACGGACCGAGACAGGTGAAGTAGGGCCATATGACGCTGTAACCCCCAGTTATGGACAGCACTTCTCTGATTGGAATCGACCCCGCCCGAACCCTGCCCTCATTTGGCGACGAATACGTGACAGAACGAATTGTCCCTTTCGGTGGTGGGAACTCTAAGCTTTTGGTTAAGGTTTCATTTGCTGCTGCAAAACTAAGGGTTTGCGTCAGTTGCACCACTTCAATGCAGTTATTGCTACTTTTCCTGCAGAGTTGTGTCATTTCTCGCTGAATACTGAAAATTGCTGAATCAAGAATATTCCCACTTAATCTGCAGTAAAAGCCGGAAGACTACGATGACGTGTCTGGACCGTTGTCAGCGTTGGCCGTGTAATAAGCTGCGATAGGACGGAAGTTTGACGACTGGCTGTTATCGTAGGTTCTCGCCAGTGGCTTGTGAATTTCCACACACCTACGACGTCTTTTTTTAAATGAGCTACCGAGGTCTGCTTCCGATCTCTCTAACTACGAAGCTAAATTAATAATTCTGCAAAGCAGGGATTTCCGTTTAAGCTCCCAGAATTGATAATGAAGTAACCGACTTGGGCTGAAACGGATTCATATCAGGGCGAGGCTTCTCAAAGGTGTCCACTGCAGTTCTGCGTTTATCAGTCATTTGTTAAAGATTGCTTGTAGAAAAGATTTAATCGTAGTCGATAAGTGTTATTGCTGTAAGATTTTCTTGCCGATTTGACATTCATTGGATACTTCCAGACAGTAATGGTCACAAACGAAGGATGGCGACCTACAGACGTTAAGGCTTCCTATCTAGCTATGAAACATGTAATACTTCGGCACATCACGAAGCCTAAGTCGCAAACAATGCTTGCGTGTACGTTGGTGACATCTCGGCCAATTAAAACGTGTCTGCCTGTGAGCCAATGACGTCATGTGTTTAAGTCGATGT